CGGGCGAGGCCGCCCGACTTCGGGCTCCCACGGGCAGCCCCGCGGGCGGCCAGAGCCCTGAACCTCCGGGGTCGCTTCCCTGGGGGCGCTGCTCCCCGACAGCCTCCGAGCAGGAGCGCGCGGCGCGGTGGTCGGGAGGGGGTGGCCCGGCTCGCAGGGCGGCGGGCGGGTGGGGTGAGGCAGGCGTCTCCCTCCCCTCCCGGCGCCCTCCCTTCCTCCCTTCCTGCAGCCAATTAGACGGCCCCCTCGGGCGGGAGGCGTGGGGCGCTCATAAAGCGGAGCGGAGCTGTCACCCCGCGAGCAGGCTGCGCACCGCCCCGGCCTGAGCCGGCGCCACAGACGCGGGTTCCCGGGGCCAAGGGAGCGCGGACGAGCCATGGCCACTACCAACGGGACGGTGGAGAACGGGCAGCCGGACAAAAAGCCTCCTGCGCTGCCTCGCCCCGTCCGCAACCTGGAGGTCAAGTTCACCAAGGTGAGGTGGACGCCAGTCCCCCCCTCCCCCCCGACGGCCGCAGGCGCCCGCGCTGGGCTGTCCACGGGGTTGTCGGGGACTAGGGGCGAGGGGCCGGGCGCTGCGGCGCTCCTTTCCGAGGGTGAGGGAAGCTGCGAGCCGCGCTCTCCGCCAGTCTCTCTGGTGTCCAGAGCCTCTGCCTCCCGGCCAGGCCACTTGGATGGGAACCCGCTCTCCTCGAGAGTCCGCGCGCACCCGGAAGGGGCCTCCAGGATCCTCACACATCGGTGGGCTGGCCGAGCCCCTGGCTCAGCGCCTTGAATCTCAAACCCGGCCAAGGAGACCGCAGCGCCCCAGCGGTGCCAAGCCTCTGCTGGCGTGGCCCCGACGTGCCCCTGCACGACTGGCTTTGAAGGCCAGCAGGGGTGCCGACCACCTCGGTGACTTTGCGGGGCTGTCGTCTGGGCAGACCCCAGCTGCGGGCTTGTGGGTGCTGCATAGATAGGGCTTCCAGGGCCCAGAATGGGGCCCGAGAGCAAGAACAGCACTGGGGATCTGCAAGGAGCAACGGAGAAACCTTGGGCAGCCCCTGTGCTTTGCTGGTGCCCAGTTCACCAGTGGCCCAGTAGAAGCAGGGAGGCACTCACTGGTGAATGGGCCCTGAGCCAGAGGGCGCCGTCCCCCAAAGGGTCAGCTCTGGGCTCCAGGAGTCATGACTACCACGGGCACCATAAGGATGCCCCTGATTTGCGAAGCCTCAAGCCGCAGGCTGGAAGGTTGGGGCGTTGGCAGGTTGGCACCACGGTGAGATCACTTGCCTAGGGCAGAAAGGAAAATGGCGAGGGCCCGTGTTGAGAAGGGCTGGAACCCCATCCTCAGCGTGTCTTTAGGCGAACACAGGGGTCAGGGATGTGTTCTTCATCAAGGGGCAGAGATGGGGCCGTTCAGGGCCCAGGCCCAGGGCCACCTTTGGCTTTATTTCCCCCAAGAGTTTATCCTCTCGTTCTTTCATTATTATTGTTGTTGTTGTTATTATTATTATTATTATCATTATCATCATCGCCATCATCATCATGATCATCTCCTATTTATCCATAGCCTCCAACTCCAGCTGATCCACTTACAAACAGAACAATTATGATTCTCAAATAGTTTTAATCAAGTGGAGACAGTTGCGGGGCCTCTCTGTGTGGCCTTCAGCTCTTGGGCCCTTGGCGTTTAGCGTCGGCTCGGTCCCTGGTTCCGTGACGTTGAAATGAACTGTTTCCAGAGGGCTCTGTAATCAGCAGAGACACTGCACCCACAGTGGGCCATTTTTAATGCAGTTTCCTTAGTCATATACACTTCAGAGAAAAATGTGGGAACAGTCAGAATAGTGCCTGCATTTGGGGGGGACCTAGAAGCCAGTGTTCCGCTGGTGCATTGTTTCTTTTCTTTTCTTTTGATTTTATAATTTAAAAAAATTATATAGACACCAGAATTACAAATATTACTGGCCTCTTGCTTCTGAGCCCTACCACAGCAGTGTCACCACGTCTGGGAAGTTCACTTCTTTCTCTGCGATCCTTTAGCGCCCTTTACAAATGCAAGCCTGGCACTTAGAGAGGAGGAATTTTTGCAGAGTCACAGAGTGACCAGGGCCTGTTGTTTGGGTGGGTGCTGCCACTTTCCAGGGCTCAGAACTGGGTATGTGGCCAAGGGGAAGCAAAGGCGAGGAGACAGATGGAGGGGCTGGGGAGCAGGCATCCTCAGGAGCCCCGCGACCTGCCTGCAAGGGCCAGGGCTCCCGCCCCTGGCCTGCCTCAGCCTCGCTCCTCCACAGAGGCCCCGTGGAGTCTCCGGGCCGGCAGCCTGCACAGTTGTGGTGGAGGGTGGGCGGTTGGGTGTCCAGCACCCAGGCAAACAGTGCGCCAGGAGCCTCTGCTTGGAGAGGGAGCGGACCCGGCCCAGGAGGGAGCAGAAACAGAACTACGGGCCCAGGACGGGCCAGCGGGGAGGGTGGAGTGTGCAAGCCGTGAGCCGGTAAGTATGTTATTTTGCAGAACTGACTCACGGTGCTTCTCGCTAATGGAGGGTGCTCCCTCCAGAGGCGCTGCATCCGGCCGGCCCTGTGGTGCCATTTCCCCAGAGTGAGTCCAGTTTCGGGAAGGCTGTGTTATCCAAGCGCCTTTCCTTTGTCCTCACCCTTTAACAGAGCTCTGCTAGGTGATTCTGTAAGGGAGGGCTCCCCAACACCTCCAGGCAATGGTCAGAAGATGGCAGCCCCTTCCTCTCCTTATGAAAGTTCCTCCAGTAGCAGAGATTCTCATAAAGCTTTTCTGACTCACTAAAACACAAATTTTTATGATCTCTTTTATGAAAAGTAAAATTCTCTCAAGTCTCCTTTTCTAAAAGTACACTCCTGAGTTTAGCCGAGGTCCCGAGCACAGTGTTGCAAGCGTCTGGAAATGGCGGCCGCAGCGCGGCTCCCCTGAACGCCATCCGTGCCGCTCCCGGCTGGCCTGCGCTCCCCAGAGAAGCTGAGGTTTTCCAGTTCAGTCTGGATTCCTTGCCATGGCACGGCCGAAGTAAAACGTGAATTCCACCTAGAGCCTGATGTAACTTCATTTTATACACTAGTAGGTTTGTTTCCGACCAACTCACAAGTCAAGGGAACAATTTCTTCTCTAGACCTATTACCCTGATTTGAGGTTCAAGTCAATATGGCCAGCATAGTTGGGAGGCCACATTCACTCACCCCATGCTTCTTTGCGTTTCTGTTTTGTTTTAGTGGGGAGAAAATCAACAGTAGAAACCACTTACAAGATTACTTACTCGTATAATATAAAGAAAAGGATTTTGCTAAATTAAAAAATATTGTGATGGGAAAGTGCAGAGTTAGCAGTCTGATTTTTTTTTTTTTTAAAGTGGCTGCTAGCAGGACGCTAGGTCAGTGTCATAAAGGACCTCGTAATTTTTTTCTAGAAGAACATATTCGGAGATGAAGTATAACAGACATCCGATCGTTGTAATCTGTTTCTATCCCTCTTATTTATATTCTCCTCTACCACCTTCTCACTTTCCCTCCCCCTTGGAATTGATACGAGGAAGGACCTGGAATCAGCAGTTTTCACTGACAGTCGCTATTATCTAACCCACGAAATTTCATCTTCCGACAAATGGGCCTCCCTTCCTGGCTGCACTTTTTTCCTCAGGCTAACTTAACTCCTCTTCCCCACTTATTAATTTCTCACTATTACCGAGTGATTACTTGCTGGATGGCAAAAGTGAACGCTTGGATTTGGTTTCAGCTGGAAGAATAAACCTGTAATTGTAGCCAGGCCTTTTCCGAGCGCTTCCCTGGGGTCCTGGCCTCCAGTCGAAGGCCCTGAGCTTCTGGTTGGATGGGTTCACCCCACTGGCGAGGGGTGCTCTCCGCCCTGAGCTCGGTGAAGGTGGGGGAGGGGTGGCTTTTGCCCACCCACCCCATCAGAACTGTCCTTCTGTGCTTCCCCCCACTCCCCACCCCGGCCCTCAGACACAGCTGTGCCTTCTGGGTTTTGCAGGACAGGCCAGGACAGAAAGTAACCAGGCTGCACACTTCAGTCCAAAGGGATAAATTTCACAAGAATTGATGAGTTCTTGTGGTGACACAGCTCTTTTTTTTTTTTTTTAAATGACTCAAAGAGAAGCAGAAGAGGGCCTGCAGATCTGGAAATGGACTCAAATGAACTAGTACTGTACAGAAAAACTATTGACAACATTTTATTTGCTAGAAGTGTTTCTAAAATGTGTCGCCTGCATCTAAATGTGGGATCTTGCGACACTGTGCTGGGCTGTGACGGTGAAGCTCTCCCGACTGGTACAGCCAAGGTTGTCTGTCCTCTCACTGGGAAAGTGATTTGTATGTTATCTGTCACTGCTGTTCCCAGTTCCTTCCCAAAGCCCTTGCTTTTAATGTGGTGCATTTTAAGGCAGCTAAACTTCGAGTAAACTGTACACGTATTTCCACACATGGATTATGTGAATTCCGTCTAGTATCCTCATGACGTCCTTTTATTTTTAACCTCCTTTTTCTTGACCGTGTTCTGGATACTTGTGGCTCCCAGGAGTGATTTTTGTGGGTTAGTTTTCAGCTTTGGATATTCAGTTATTTGCTACATCTGCTAATAGAACCAGAACATTCCTTAACCCTGATATTTATCTTCATATTCCAACACTGGCTTTTATTAAGTCTAACATGAAATGATAGACTTGGGGGTGGGGGGTGCCGAGGTGAATCCGTGAAAACTGAAGGGCTAGTGTGTGAACATGTAGGGGGAGCCCCTGGGCCATCCAGTAGGGGTGCAGCAGGGTGGAAGAAGGAGCTGCGTGCTGCTGGCAGCCCCCGCCAGGGCAGGCCAATCTCTTGACACATTACATGTGTCAACCCATTTAATCTTCCCCCAAATTCATGAGAGTATAGGATGTGACTCACATCTAGAGGTGTGATGGGTAAGTGGGGACAGAGTGGGGAGCAGAACAGGCAGACTGACAAAGCACACTGCTAAGGGGAGCAGAGGGCGGGATGAGAGAGGTCTGCTGAGCCATGTGGGTCGATCCCAATCCAACTTGTGCTGCAGTGGCTGTGGATAGCTGCACGGTGCTACCATTGCACCACCAGGGAGGGCCACATCTAGCTTTTTGAAAAATTTACTTATTTATGCATAGAGAACTGGGGTACAGGCCAGAGTTGCCAGGGCTGAGAGGATTCCCCAGAGACAGAGTGGGGAGCAGAACAAGACAACTGACGAAGTACACTGCTGAGGGGAGCAGCAGGCTGGTCAGGAGAGGTCTGCCGCGCCCTGTGGGTCACCTCCGGGGAAGGCGGGGATCAAGCTCACGTTGAAGTGGTTTTAGCATCTTAGTACTGTGCTTTAACCTGCTGCACCACCAGGGAGGCCATGTATTGCTTTTTAAAAAAAAAATAAAGAGGAACATTTTGGAGAAAAATCTAGATAGCTGTATTAGCATTGCAGAGGACTGGATTCTAATTCTGAGTGTGCTCCCAGGTGGACAAATGACTGTGTCCCCCTCCAGGTCCCATCTACAAATATGCAGCCGGTGGGAACGACAAGACGTTACCTAAGGTCCCAGCATGTTGGAATGATGATTTTGATTTAAGCCTAATGCATTACAACTTCCTCTCCTGGTCAGATATTCATCAACAATGAATGGCACGAATCCAAGAGTGGAAAAAAGTTTGCCACATACAACCCATCGACTCTGGAGAAAATATGTGAAGTAGAAGAAGGAGATAAGGTAGGTGCTTTTTTTCCCCTTAAGTAATTCAATTACAGATAACTAAAGGATAAGGAAGTGGCTTGGCCAGCTTTAAGAGGGACCTGGCCGGCAGTCGGGGAAGGACCCGGCCAGCTCCTTCTCAGGCACATGGCCCAGAATGGGATCAATTAGAGACCCTCGGCTGCAGCCAGCCTCTCTCTCTGATCCACGTCTCTTCGTCTCTGAGGATGACTTCAGCTATCCCCATCACGTGCCCAAAGGAAAGGTTTTTATCAATTATTTGAGCCTTTCCTTCCAGAAAGCATTTCCGGCTGGTATGTTTCATTCACCAAATGCAATATTCTGGCAGGAGACATGTTAAAGAAATAGACCTGAAGGAAAAAAGATCGCTGGCCAAGTCATGCAGGAGTTACAACATCACGCAGTCGCCAGGATTCTTTCTCCCAGAAATTTAAATCATCGTGTAAAGCTGTGGTCTTTATGACCCTGTTTGGATAAGCTATATTATGTACCTATAACTGTGTAACTATAGTCATTCCTCAGTGGTGTCGATAGATACTTGGAAAGTGCGATGTTAAGTGGAATGACATATAACACAATCAGGTCCTTGAGTAATGTCATTTCATATGGCATTGTTTCATTACACACTGACGGAAAAAAAGCAATCTTGACTGAGTTAAGTATATCTACACACTGATGTATATGCATAACCATGTGCACTGATGTTTGTGGTTTTTAAATTTTTTTAAAGATTAATTTATTTATGCATACAGAACTGGAGTACAGGCCAGAGATACAGGGGCAGTAAAAGGATTCATTAGAGACAGAGCAGGGAGCAGAACAGGCAGATCGATGAAGTCTGCTGCTGAGGGGAGCAGCGGGCGGGTCAGGAGAGGTCTGCTGAGTCACATGGGTCTCCTCTGGGGCAGGGATAGAACTCTCACTGAGACGGTTACTACTCACTTGCAGAGCTGCGTCCTAACCCGTTGCGCCACCAGGGAGGGCCTACACTGCTCTTTGTACACATGTGACTTCCAGGCACAGGCATATGTTTATATGTTTGCATATGTATATGAGTATATGTGTAACTATAGACACAGATACACATCTGCAGAGGGATTTCTGGGTACGGCCTTGACATATGTCAAGGTTAAAAAGTATCATTTGCATGCATGACCATGGGGAGAAACGCTGAAGGTCAAGCAAGCTGTCTCCTAAGAGCGCGGGGCCACTAGAGAAGCCACTGGCTGGTCTTGGTAAGTAAATGGGTGATGCTGGCCGGCAGTAAAGTGACTGACACGTGTGACCGCCCCGTGCGTGGGGGCGTGTGCCACACACTGGCTCTAGCTGCAAAGCTCTTCTGAGCGCTGCACCCCGCGCTCGTCTCTGTTACGGTCAGGAGCACATGGAGCTCAGGTGAGGATGTTGGGTGCCCGGTGGCGAGCAGGACTCCCAGTGGGTGACGCCAAGATGCACCTGCAGGTGTTGGGGAGGGGACTAGGTTTCTGCCTGAGGCATCCGGGAGGCCGAGGCTGCCCTGGCCCTGCAGCCAGCTCCACCCAAGACTGGGGCAAGGAATTGCCCCCAACACGGGCACCCCTCAGAGACAGCTCGGGTTTGGTTCTAGATCACAGAGAAGTGAATATGGCGATGGAGACAAGTGTTTTGGTTTCCTAGTGCACATAAAAGCTATGTCTTCACTAGTCTCTAGTCTATTAAATGTGCAATAGCATTAGGCCTTAATTAAATGTGAAACAGAAACCTGAGCTGAGTGCACGCTGTTGGTGAAGGACACAGATCGGCATGCCTGACCGCCGGTGGCCACACACACCTTATTTGCGTAAAAGCAGTGTCTGCAAATGCATCAAGCAGCTCGGTGAAGCCAAGTGTGCCTGCACCCCCTTGCCCACACTTCCGCTCACCTCTGTGGGCGGTCGTGGCGGAGGCTGCCTGGCTGTCCTCCTGTGCCCACTGCACCTCCCTGGGGGAGAGAGGCTCAGAGGGGCCAGGGCAGTGAGCTGATGCCCACAGCAAGCAGAGCCTGCGGCCCCGGTTTTCTGAAGACAAGAGTGAGAGACGGTAGCCAGCTCTCACGCTTTCCTTTTCAAAAGGCTCTGTTGTGATTTTCTGTCTGTACACAGAAGATCCAGTTCCTTGTCTATAAACTGGTGGAACAACTCTGCCCCCCGGGGAGGAGATGGGGCGGAAGAAGCCAAAAGGCCAGTGCCTCCCTCTGCCAGCTCTCCCACTGGGCTCGCCTCTGAGACCCAGAGTGCTGGCCCAGCCCCAGGGGACCCAAGTGCCACACAAGCCATCCCCACACTGGGTGAGCTGGGGTGCGGTGTGCTCGGGGCTGGAGCTGGCGGACAGACACCTTCTCCCACTTGGGTCACCCCCAAGAAATACACAAGAGGCAGTCATTTTAGAAGCTATTGGAAAGTGCTTGTATAATCAGAATGAAAGTTCACACTTGGCCATTCTAGAAATCTTGAGAAAGACTCAAGATGTAAAGAAGCAAGAAATCACTTGAAAATCACCAGCCATTCAAGGGATTTAAGGCAGCTAAGCTGTCCCGAACTGTCGCATCAATATAACTCTCTCTCTCTCTCTTGCTCACTCTCAGCCCGACGTGGACAAGGCCGTAGAAGCAGCACAGGCTGCCTTCCAGAGGGGCTCGCCCTGGCGCCGCCTGGACGCTCTGAGCCGGGGCCGGCTGCTGCACCAGCTGGCCGACCTCGTGGAGAGGGACAGGGCCATCTTGGCGGTGAGTACACCCTAACCAGAGTCGGCTCACGCAAGGGTCCTGACCCCAAGGGGCACGGGATCCCACATCCAGGGTGCAGGATCATGAGACCGAGGGTCTGTTTGGGCCTCGAAGTCTAGCTCTGTGGCAGCTGGCAGCACCTGGGCCCCTGAACTTGAATCTTTGGACTTTGAAGTGAGACGTTTGTCCCCAAGAGCTCAGTTTCTTAATCAAGAAGACTCCCAGAGGAAGTTTAGCCTCTTCAGTGTTCCCAGATCAGACATTCACGGTCACTGGACGCAGCTGGGCCAGCTCCTGGTCTGATCTGGATGTTTATGAACTTGACTTTTGTTTAGTATGGACTCCCTTTTAATCTTACATTTAACCTCATCCTGAGCGGCGATAGCCATGAAAGCCACATTTAAGATGCCAGTGGCATTTTTTCTAATACATAATAAAGCAAATGGCACCACTGAACAGAAAAATAATATTCCTGTGTGCCCCGAAAATCTGCCCTGTATCACCTCTGATTGGGGCCGGGATGAGCTGAGTGCAGAGTGCTTACAGAAAACCTCAGGATGTGAAAACCTTGACTCAGACACCAGCCCTTCCACTTACTAGCTGTGTGACTTTGGAATGGAGACTTCCAAGCAATCCTGTGCAGTAAGGTAACTGCTATTTCTAAGAGCAGCTGTGTCATCGTAACATCAGCTGCCTAAGCTGGCTGAACCCAGCTATCTGGACTCTCAGCCTCTTTCCTCTGCTCTAAAGTGGGGACATTCATTTCGCCTCTCCGAGCGTGGGCCGCTCCCAGCAGTTGGAGCTGTGAAGACATTTGCAAGCCGGTATTTACAGAATCTTCAGCTCTTCCTTTTGGGCTTACAATGGGTGGTCAGAAGAAAGCTCAGGATCTTGAGACCCTGAGTGCCTTGGGATCCTCGGTGGTCTGCACAGGCCACCTTGGAGGACACAGACTCTAGAGCTTGCTCTGAGTCTGGTAAGAAGAAATCCCCTTTCTGGCTCCTGGCTTGGAAAATGGCTTTTTCCTTTCTTGAGCTGATGATCTCAGGGAAGAGCGGTGTGAGGTGCTGCCATCCAGGACCATGACATTGCTTTTGCCCTTGAGCTTCATGGGGAGGAGGCAGGAGATTGCCCTTGGCACAGCTCCCCGAGGCTACCTCTACTCGGGACCTCAGTTCTTCTGCCTTCCCTGCTCCCAGCCACCCAGTCTGGCCTGCTCACCCCAGTCCTGGTGAGGGTGGCTCCCCGCTAGGATCAGAGTTTCTATCCCTGGAACTTCTGGATTCTTCCTGCAACGAAAGTCAGCCATGACTCTCAAGCTGCCAAACGGGCTTTTACAAAAACATTTCTGTTTTCACCCAGTATGAGCTCATCGGTCTGCAATGTCCATGTGGACTCAGTGAGAGAGAGGATGTGTCCTGGGCACCCCTCCCCACCCTGTCCTCAATTTGCCGTATCATCTGGGGGAGCAGCAGTGGTTTCAGGGTCACGCCACCTTCACCCCCCCCCCCCCCCGGCCCCCATTTTCCGTATCCCCTGGGGGGGGAGCGGGGGTTTTAGGGCCCCCCCCCCCTTCCCCCCCCCCCCCCACTGGCCTGGCAAGACTGAGCTCTGATAACAGACAGGGCAAGTGGGCTCAGCTGTGGGGACCTTGCTGTCTTGTCCATCACAAAGAAGAGCCAGCTCTTTGGCACATCATGAAAGGGGAAGAGAGTTGTTGGCAAATATGGTTCTTAAAAGCCAGACTACGTAGTAGGAAAACACCCTCACTCGGCACCTTGATTTGGTTTGTCTGCATCTCCTGGCGAAAAGGCCCCGCTCCTGGCCTTCTCTGGCGGGCTCGGTGGTTTTGACAGACAGGGCATTTATTCTGGGTTTGGGGTTTAGAAACAGATATGCAGTGATTCTGCACCCCCTGCCTGCTCCCCTTTAGTAAGATGCTGTAGGGCCAACCTGACCCTTTGGGCTCCCATTTCGGGAGTCCCCAAAGAAAGACCATCCTTCTGTTTTCAGTTTGATCCCCACTTCTGGACCAGTTATTTTAGTCATTGGCTCCCTGGGAGTCCAGGGTCCCCGACGCAGGTCCTTTGTTCTTTCGTATCAGGACGCTGCACTGTGTTGATTCTTCAGAAGGCTTAAAGCACTAAAGGAAACAAATCCAGTGTACTGGCATCACACTGGGGTTTATTGATAGCCCAACCACACTGATTGCTTAAAAGTTCCAATCAAAGCAAACGCTGCATTTTTTAAGCTCAGTCCTATGTATTCACCTGTGAATCACTTTTTTTATTTTTAAAAATGAATTTCCTGTCTGGACCTATTGTGGCCTGATTTTGCTTGGGCAGCTTCCAGAAAACCAACCTGCCAAATTCACATCATCAGTCCAGGAAGCAGACCTGCCTTGAATGCCCCCCAGGTTTGTGGGAGGCTCTTGGACTGTGGTGTCCATTATCCCATTTCAGAAGTGAGGACACTGAAGCCCAGCAAGTGTTACCCAGCCAGCATGGACACCAGCTCTCCCCACACCACCACACCGCAAGCCTCGCTCTTTTTCTCCCTTGCTCCATCCCAGAAAAGGCCAAAGGAGAAGCTTCTGACTCCAGCAGCGGATAAGCACATACTGCCTCATAACTGTCCTCCCCACAAACCCTTTGGTATCATTTGCAAAGACAGGATGTCCCCGGGAAAGATGGGCTGCACCTTGGATCAGAAAGCAGTGTGAAGTGCAGGTGCAATGTACTAATACAGCAAGTAGGCCCCAGTAGGGCTACGCAGTGACTGCTGGGGCTGGGGGAAGATACACTCCAACCCACAGCACCCCCACCGTCTTCAGCATCCCCCTCTCTCCTCCCTGTCCCCAAGTGAGGCTTGCCAGGCACCTGTCAGGCCCCCAGAAAGAAGCCATTACTGTCAGCGTCTTAATAGAAGCCAGCACCTGGCTTGCACAGGCATTTGAGTGGGAACTGTGGCCCTCGGAAGCAGGTCCAATTCTTCTCACTCTCCAGATGAGCAAACTGTGGTAGGGAGCGATTCAGGGACTTGCCCATGTAGGGAAGTGGTTGCCTCTTGTTTAGAGAATGTGGGGTTCACCGCTGGAGGGCAGTCAGGGAGAGCAGCCCTAGGCATCTGTGAAGGGGTCCTGCCATCTTTCTGGACCCCTGTGCCCAGGGAGCAGCCTGAAGAGCCGTCACAGTGCACACTGGCAGCGTATGCCCGCAATTCAGCGCCAGCATGCGGCCAACACCGGGTGACCTTGGACATGCTGCCAAGCTCTGTGAGCCTTGGCGTCTGCACCTCTGTGGGAACAAGCCGTATGAGGGTGCAGGCCACGGGGCGCTCTGCCTGTGGAAGTCAGCCTCACACTCTGCCACAACAGGAATCCAGCCCTGGGCTGTGTCAGGGTGGCCACTTCCTGCAGAGACGCCGATGGGCGGGCTCGGCTCCCGGCTCAACTGGGGCTGCTTGTCTGTGGACAAAGGGGTTTTCTTAAAGCCGGGCTGGAAATAGCAAAGAATCTCTGCCCTTGAGGAGCCCCGCTGGCCCTGGGTGATCACCTCCCTCACCACCAGGGCGAGTCTGCGCCCTTCCCTCTCAACATCCGGCTCCAGGAGCGTTGTGTCTTTGTGCAAGGGGCTCCTGGCTCCGTCACTCTTTCCGTGGCCCCGCTGGCCCACCGAGACAAGAACCAAGAGTCAGTAGCTCCCTCTCTCTTGTTAATGGAAGCCAGTGATGTCCACACACACGTGGCTGTTGCTGTCCTGGGGGGATTAACAGTCCTTCTGACACACCCATATGCCAGGCCCCCCCCACTGAGGCAGCTGTACTTGGATGGCAGACCCAAAAAGCAGAGGCATCTTCCCTCCAGGGAGGCTTCCTAACAGCTTGCCTCTGGGGACCAGCAGGGTACCCCAGTCCAGCCCCCAGCTGGAAGCAAAAGTAGTCCCCACAGTGGGCACGGGTGTTCTTCCCAGCGTGATGTGTTGCTTTCTCAAGAGTCACCTGCAAGTGGGAAAGCCAGAGAGCAATGATGGCAGGCAATGCCCCTTCCTCCCGCCCTCTCTCTGCCCTCATAGCCTGACAGGGAAATGGAAATTGCCCCTGACACCCTGTCTTGTTCGGACAGACCCTGGAGACCATGGACACGGGGAAGCCCTTCCTTCATGCCTTCTTCATCGACCTGGAAGGCTGCATCGGGACGCTGAGATACTTTGCAGGGTGGGCGGACAAAGTGCAGGGCCGGACCATCCCCACAGGTAAGTCAGCCAGGAGCGCGGGCTACTCCGGGTTGGCCTTGGGGCTTCTGTCTTCTCCCCCTTCAGGTAACGCCCAGGCCTCCTTCCTGTCCCCCAAAAGCAAGTGGCCCCGAGCCCACCCTTCTAAGGAATTTACAGCTTTGAAATTATATCAAAAATCTCTCCTGTGTGTAACAGACAAGACTGGAGTCCAACACCCTGGCGAGCTTCTGAGTTTCTGGAGCTTCAGGCGGGCACGCCTCAGAGAGAGGGCGGGGTCCTCTCCAGACCGCTGCAGTAAAACAGTTATCCCCCTGACGCGCATGGCACCATTTTTGACTTCCCAGCGCAGGCCTAAGTCCTGCCGTGTCCTGCTGTAGTTGACTCAGTGCGAGAGAGCCTTGTGTCTAACAGGACAGTGGACCTTGTGTCTAACAGGACAGTGACCCAGAGATAGGATGTGAGCAGGTGCTGCTGGGAACAGTCACGCTAGCCTAGCGGGACTAGCCAGCAGCTAAGGGAGCACATTGCGCCTACCTGTGCAACCAGGGACGATGCAGCTAACGAGGTGTGTCTGCACCCGACGTTCTCTACCGCACTCATGTCCCGCCACCCCCGCCCCTCTCTTCCAGATGACAACGTGGTGTGCTTCACCAGGCACGAGCCCATCGGCGTGTGTGGAGCCATCACGCCCGTAAGTATGGTGGCTTCTCCCGCCCGCTCCTCGGTGGCCTTGAGGGAGCACTCAGGAGCGGGAGGCCACGGGAAGGGGCAGATCTGCTGTGGATGGGCGAGATGATGGCATTTAGGTGCTAAGGAGCAGCAGTCAGAAAGAAGGGACCCCGACCACAAGTTGGGGGAGCCCTGAAACAATGGGGCTATTATTTAGCTGAGCGCCAGGTCTTTGGGAACAGGGAGTCCTGTGTTTCCAGTGTAGGAACTCCAAACAGAACTGGGGCAGGGGAGAAATCCCAGGGGCAGCTCCCCAAGGTACTGTCTTGGGTCAAGCACGCGGAGTGAGGTTGCCGGTGGGCTCTTCTCTTAGGCATCCCTGGAGCCTCAGGAGCCAAAAACATCTTTCGGGGGGGGGGGGTAGGGTAGGGTTGGGGACAGCCTGAATCAAGCTGACTGCTGTTACGAGATGGCCAATTTCATCTGCCTCCTTAAGTTGATACTTGGGGCAGCAGTGTAGCAGGGGACACAGGCTGACCCAACCCCTCGCCTCTGCCCGCGAGTCCGTGGCCTTGGGCGAGTGACCTCACCCTCTGTGTCTGTAAATAGGCCTCACGGGGTGTGGCCGGATACTGACGTGTGGGGAGTTGCTGAGCGCAGCCCCTGGCACACAGCAAGCGCCGGGCCTGCACGCTCCATTCCTGCCGGGGGCATTGGCCCTCCCGGTCCCAGTGTCCTTGGCTCTCCTGTGGACAGAGGATGAGAAAAGCATGTCCCCAAGTGACTGTCACTAGAACTCCACTTGAGTGTGGGCTTAGTGTGTGCTCTGTGTGGAGCAAAGCATCCTGTGGCATCCGAACGAGAATAGTTAACTCCCTGAGGGTCCCAAACCTATGGTTTAAGAGGCAGTCGCCTTCCTACAGGACGAGTCAGGGCCCTTAACATGCTGATGCCCTTGTTAACCTGTTGCCAAAGACCGCCCAAGAGCTTCTCCCAGAATGCACTCTGGAAGTGCCCACAGAAGTGGCATTTGATCAATGCATTACAGCTCCTGTATGACTCCCTCAACTCCAAAGGTATTGTGGGGCCTCCAGGAGAGTGTCTGTTTGTGTGGGGGGTGATCCCCAAGCTCCTTGTGCTCTATTGCAGTGGAACTTCCCTCTGCTGATGCTGGCGTGGAAGCTGGCGCCTGCTCTCTGCTGTGGGAATACGGTGGTGGTGAAGCCGGCAGAGCAGACACCCCTCACCGCCCTTTACCTGGGCTCTCTGATCAAAGAGGTGAGATGTACAGATGTCTGTGTTCTCAAGAGCTTTCCCATTCCTAGGAGCCAGGTCACGACAGCAGATAAAGCCGCCCTGCTGGGCTAGGCCGTGCGTGCCAGCGTCAGCCTGCTGCTCGCCATTGAGTGGGAAGGGATGACGCCGTGTTTCACTTGGCAGCTGCAACTTCCTGCTCCTGCTTGTGGTCACTGAGCTAGAAGAAACTCCATTCCTTCCATCAGTCCACATGAGAATATTTAACTCTTAATCTGGATTCAAACCTATGACTTCGGTCCAAATGTGTAGCCTAGAGAATTTGCAGAGGGCTCCTTGAGAGAGAATTCAGTGCTCGGAGCTTTTTGAGGCCCTCCATTGTATATGAATGGGCCATGGTTCTCTCAGAGGAATAATCTTGCCAACTTCTGCCAAAGTGGCTGCCACTGCACCAGCTCTCTCCAGGGCTCTGATCCAGGTGACAGCTGCTGCGAGGGGAAGCACCAGCATGAGGAGATAGCTCCTTCCAGACATACCTGGCAACATATTTTAGTCATTCTGTCCCCTGCGTGTATGTTGCAAAAGGAAAGAAAGTCTCTACTCACTGATCAGCAAAGCAATGCAATCAGGATGTGCCACATTTAGTGCTTAAGCTGGACATCGGAGCAGCCACTGACTGATCAGCTCCCTACTTTCTCTTGACTGATATTGACATGACTAAGTCACATGAAGGAGACTTACAGAGTAGGTTCTAAAAATCACAACTCTTGAAAAGCAAGATGAAGGAAAAACTAAAGACTCAAGCACCATGTCCTAAATCTTGCCTTTCTAAAATAATGAGTTGTAGACCTGGCATATGGGGAAGAGAGGCACCCTCCCTCATTCATTCGGGGTGTTCTGAGTGAATAAAACAGCCTATGTCTGCAAAGCCAAGGAGGGGTGCCTGTAATGGCCATGCCACCCCAACTTCTGTGGCAAGGATGCTGAGTGGGGGTGGCTCGGTGCCACGTGGCATGGGAATGGGGTAGATTTAAATATGAAAACAGAAACTTGGGAAGAATATTCTGCAGGTGCCTCAGAGCCTCTGAACTGTGGTGACCCAGATGGCCCTCCTACCCCAGCACACACACACAAAGACACAGGCACACGAGACACACGCACACAGAAACCCACAAACGCATGTGGAACTCTGCTCTCCTCAGAAGGGCCACTGCCATTCTGCACCAAAATTCTTCCAGGTGGGAGGGCTTCCTGAAGGGCAGGGCACATCCTGGCTACCTGGGCGGGGTCCTGTGACACAGGTAGACTTCCCACGTGGCTGTGGCTCTCTCCCCACCGCGTGGCCTGTAGCAGACACGACCCTTTCTCCTCTTCTGAGGCCATCTCAATTGCCTCCTAGGTCGGATTCCCTCCAGGTGTGGTGAACATCGTGCCGGGGTTTGGGCCCACAGTGGGAGCAGCGATTTCATCGCACCCCCAGATCAACAAGATAGCCTTTACCGGTTCCACAGAGGTAACCCTTCTCTGGCTGCTGGCAAGAGGGGCTTGGGAACTTTTCCTTTGAGAGTTGAAACTGATTTACTTTCCCTCTACATTTGACCATGTTTTAGTAACCAGTATTAAAAAAAAAAAATCACAGGTCCAATTTCCAAACTAAATAAATATCAACTAGAGTGCAGAAGTCTTTGAAGAAAAGATGAATAGATAAGATAAAATAAAAATGCAAAACATCCTTATGACAAACATCATAATCAAGGTTAAGAGATAAGTAACAAGCTAAAAGAATAACAACACATGATTTATGCAGTGCCCCACAGGTTCAGATCCTTAATATGTAAAAAGTTTCTCAATATCAATGAAAAATAAAAAGACTGAATGGTGGAAATAAGGCAACTCGAAGAAGAGAAATACTGTGAATGCCCAATCACTTCTCCTAGTTCACTGATCATCAGGGAAACAAAAATCCAGACTGTATTTCCTTTGTCAACACTCTCGGAAGAGTGAGAATCTAACGAAACCATGTTTGTAGGATCCAGTGTCACGTAGACACTTCCTAAGGAGGACGCCAGGGGGCCGGTGCTCGTCACATGCTAGAAACAGAAGACCTTAGATACAACTGCTTACAGGAATGTTCTCATGAACATATTTTCCGGTGTGTTAAATGTAGTCCCATGATCATTGCAATCAGGATAACTCCCCTGGTCTGTTGTTGCAGCACAAATACCGTGATGATAAGAAAGTTTTGTGTAGTAGGACCACATTAGTAAAAGTGTGTGTGTAGAGAAGCAGAAATAGTCTGGAGGATTTCCCAAGAATTCTTTTTTTTTTTTTCTTTTCTAAAGTTTGATGAATGAATGGTTGATTGAGGCTACATTGGTTTGCAATGTTGTTTGTGGTTAGAGGTGTATAGGGTCACCCCTTCAGGGGTCGTTGTCCCTGCACACTGATCCCCAAAGCACCCTCCACCATAGACCATGGTGCTCCCTACCCACTTTGTTCTCTTCCCTGCTTTCCTCCTTAATAGCCTCAGTTCTCCAGTCAGCTTTCTAGGCTGTTACTGGTCTGGTTTTATTTTTGCATTGTTTCTCTAAAGGAAGTGACACCATAGGGTGTTTACCTTTCTCCTTCTGAATTCCTTCATTTAACATAATCCCTTCCATTTTCACCCATGTTACTACAAATGGCAATTGTTATCTTTTTCATAGTTGAGTAGTATTCCACTATATATATATATATACACACCATATCTTCCTAATCTACTCATCTGCTTTGGGGCCCTAAAATTCTTTCCATATCCATCTCTAGACCAGGTCCTGGGGCACAGGGTGAGGGGAGGTGAAACTCTCCCCCCTTTAATTTACTTGTATCCATATGTGGAATTATTTTTAATGAGAAAGTACTTTCTCTACTTCAAAATCAAACTGGGGCCTTGCCAATCCCAGTGAAAATTGCTGAGAAGGAGCAGAAGCAGCAGCTCCAGACCTGGCTGAGTGAGAGATGAAAGGTGGAGGGACAGAGATGTGCCAAAATGTGACTCCTGCCCTCCAACTCTTCCCAGTCATCTCATCCTACAGCAGAACCATCCTGTCCCCTCAGAGATGCCTGAACCCTCTCTAGACAACTATTGAGCTCCCCTTGAGTTTAGCAACTAAGATAGTGAACAAGAGAGTGGCCCCTGTAGCCCCAGGAATTGCCCAGCTGGCAGGCTAGCTCTGCAGAGAGGTGCTTATCACCCCTTCCATGGCCATATGCATGTCACTGGGCCCTCCAGAGTCACTCCTCCATCTTTATAAGGGCAGCAGCTTGGACCAAGAGTCCTCATGGCCTTAAGGTCTGATCTATAGAGATACTGAGGCCAGAACAGAGAAATGGCAGCATCAAGATGAAGAGCACCTGGGCAGAGAGGTAGGAGGAGCCTGGCCACACCTCTCACTTCCAGGGAAGGTTGGGCCACATCTGGACAGGTCACAGTGTCATCTGGTCTCTTCTTTCTCCTGAAGGTTGGGAAGCTGGTTAAGGAAGCTGCCTCCCGGAGCAACTTGAAGAGGGTGACACTGGAGCTCGGGGGGAAAAACCCCTGCATTGTGTGTGCTGACGCTGACCGTGAGTCTCCCCTCTTCCGGGCACTGCTGGGGCTTTCGGGGATCCATAAGTCTCTCCTGCTCTGTTGCCCCGATGCAGAACCAGTTGAAAGACACTTGCTCTGGGAACGACTTTCCTCCTGGGTCGTCTTGCTGTTGATGGATAAATGGAAACCAAACTCAAGCTTCACGACTGCTTGGGAGCTGGGTGGGAGAAGGCTGGGTGGGAGAAAGCCGGGCTGCCTGCTTCTGCCCTTCAAGTTACATTTGCTGTCCCCATCCCCATGAGGCTGGGGTCCCTCTGCACAGTTCCATGGAGGTGTCCGTCACGACGCCCTGTGCCTCGGAGCTTCCTATCATGCGTTCCTGCAAAACAAAGCCTGGAGACGTGTCTTCCTTCTTTGTCTCTGGCCTTACAACTCAGAAGGGGGTCAATGGGCAGTGGCCTCTGAAAAATACGCTGCTGCTCTGGGTTCTGTTGCTCCGTCCACCACCTCTTCCCTGGGAAGGCAGCCCTGTCCAGCTAGCTCTGCTACAGCCTATGACACAATGTAAAATATATGCTGTTCTTGGCTGTCACATCCAGAAGAAGGACAAAGGGCAGAAAGTCACAGGTGTGTCTTCCCAAGTACCCTCAAGCTTTTTAGTGAATAGCCTCCCTCACCTGCCCACTGTACCAGAAATTCCTTTCATAGAGAACAAAGCTTTCCACTCCCCACTCAGATAAGTCTGGAATGGCAAATATCCCCAAGAAAAAATGACTCTGGCACAATTTCTAGCTGAGGTGCAATTGACTGATAGCAGTTGTCTCTGATGCTGGCATCCGTGGCTGGGGAGGACGGGGCTGCACAGATAAACTGCTTCCATTTTGCCTGGGTTGTTTGTTCCTCCCTGTGGATCACCTTCTGCACATGAGCGTTGCTGATGATGCTGGAGGCACATGGGCAGTTCTGGGCGTGGCACCGCTGTGACCCACATTTAGACCCAAAGTCCCATCCCAGAGAGCCAGGGCTCCTGGTTTGCACAGCTCCCCCTCCCCCACGTCTGGATGTCCCGTCAGGCACCTCTTCCCAGCCTCTTTTCCTCTCAGTGGGGAAAACTCCAGCCAACAACCAGATTCCAGTGTTTACGGGTGTTTTGACATGGCAGATAAACATGCCCAGAGTCATCTCCCTACTCCCAAAATTAAACCCTGACATAAGTGCCACCAGGCAGGCTTCCAACGGTAGCGGGCCACTCTCTCCCCTCTGTGTCCCCACTCCGGCTCCCATCAGGCTGCAGGAAATGAATTGATTCTCTTGGCGGAGGGGCACTTTGCAGTTGGCACAGAGGGCATGGGGGTGCAGGGAAAGGCAGGGAGCCGTGAGCTATCCTCTGCCTTGGCTGCTCGCACGAAGACCCTGCCCCGTTAGCAGCAGCCCAGGCCTCAAGGCCAAGGCAGGTTCCTCAGAGTCTCCCCTGCCATGTCCAGGAAGCCCTGGCTTTTGTTCAGCACAAAAGGCAGCTGAGTTTCCCCAGCAAGTGTGGAGTGTGGGGGGTGGAGAAGGGAGGACACAGAGAAGGCCGCCAGCAGGGCGCCCCGGAAGCCGCGGGACTGCAAGACAGTCACTTGTCCTCTATTAAGCAGGTCCCCAAAAGTCCTCCCTGCTGCCCCCTTTTATGCTGTGTTTCAGCAACTGGCTTCAGCTCAGTGCAGTTCAGATTCAGTCTTGTCAGACTAGGCACAGGCTTTTCCTTTCTTTCTTTTTTTTTTTAAGATGTATTTATTTGTGCATACAGAACTGGGTACAGGCCAGAGGCTCAGGGGCGGTGAGAGGCTTCACCAGAGACGGTGGAGAGCAGAACAGGCACATCAACGAAGTCCACTGCTGAGGGGAGCAGCGGGCGGGTCAGGAGAGGTCTGCCGCGCCATGTGGCCACCTCCGGGGCAGAGAGTGAACTCGCACTGAAGTTGCTTTAGCTTCCTCATGCTGTGCTTTAACCCGCTGCGCCACCAGGGAGGGCCCAGGCTTTTCCTTTCTTTTCCCTTCTCAGTCCTCCATGGAGCCATGCGTCTCACTAAGACCTTCTTTTGCTGAAGATGGCTTTGGGCTCCTTTAAAAGTTCTTGCAGTGGGCCTGCCTCAAAGCTCAACAAAGGCTGTTCTAGAGAAATCTGTGTGCAGTGAAGGGTTCCAGGGGCAAGTAAGATGGGGAGCACCGTGACCGTGCTTTTAGGAAAGATACCAAGAAGTCCCCCGCACCGCAGGCACAGTGGGCCAGGGAATCCAGGCCTTGCTGGGGCCTGTTTGCTCATGGGCAATGAGAGCCACAGCTGTCCTGGTCCTGCCCTAATGCCTTAATCGCTTCCTCTGGCCCCGCCCCCTCCCACAGTGGACTTGGCCGTGGAAAGCGCCCATCAGGGAGTGTTCTTCAACCAGGGCCAGTGCTGCACGGCCGCCTCCAGGGTGTTCGTGGAAGAGCAGGTCTACGCCGAGTTCGTCAGGCGCAGCGTGGAGTACGCCAAGAAACGGCCCGTGGGAGACCCCTTTGACGTCAGGACGGAGCAAGGGCCCCAGGTAACCTGCTGACATGTGGGGTTCAGGCTGCCCACTCATGCTGTGAGATCCAGAGTTCCTCTCACGGCGACCAGGGGGCCCTGGCTCCCAGAGCTCTGTGGAGCTGCCCGTGACAGCACAGTCTCTGCAGGGCTGGGAACGGGGCTGGGACGCCCAGCTCAGGGCTTCTTTGGAATCAAACCATTCCCAGTTCACGAGGCCATGTGTCTGCACCCCAGCTCTGTCAGAGTCCCCCCCCCCCCCGAGCCTCCCCAGGCCCCAAGAGTGAGCCTCAGGCACAAGCTACCTTACCTGGCTGGTCTCCCTGCAGAAACGGCTGGAAAACCTGTAGAAAGGCAGCCAGGTGCAGGCAGGGGCCACGTTGCCCGGACCCAGCGGTCTTAGCACAAGGCCCTGGAACCCACATGCGTGACAGGAAAAGGTGACCGTCAGAATAACGGTGGCGGTGGAGCGGGGCTGGATCTCGGGGCGGTAATAACGTGTCTCTGGAGGCCTGCTTGGAGAGGCTCACGGCCACGGGGTTTAATAACCTCTTTAAAGGGCACATCCTGTATCACTTTCTTACTGATCACGCAGTGAAGCAGATGGATAAATATTTAAAAGAGGGCAGCCTCTGTCCCATGCATTATTGAAAGGGAGCTTGATAGCGACCCACTTTCTTGGAGCCAAAGTCCGGTCCCTGCCTTGAACTTTCGAGTCACCCGGCAGGACTCAGCCACTATCCTGGGAGCTGGCCAGTCAGCCCTGCCTGGCCACTGCCGTTCACACAGGAGCATGGGCCTGAGGCCAGGCCCGAGTCACTGGTTCCTTTGAAAGCCCAGTATACTCATCTGGAAATGGGAGCCATGGGCAAATACTGCAAGACTGTCATTGCACCTAATAAGCGTTCATAAAAGGGTAGTTTTATTCTTTCTGAAGGGGGAGCACTGGCTGAGAACCTCCCTGATCCGGGCGCAGTGATGTGTGGCGTGAGCTCAGGCTATGTCGACAGGGTCTTGCTGGACATCCTGTGGGGATGCTCTGGCTGGGGGGAGCGTGTTTCTGGCCACAGGGCCCACCCTTGCTCTGCTCTAGCCCACGTGTTCTGTGGCTCCAGTGCCACATGACCCGGGGGGCGAGGTGGGGAGGGCAGCGTCTCTGCCTTTGGCCAACACTCCCCTTCCTGCCAGGCCTCAGCTCTAAACCTAGAAGCCAATTTCACAAAGATTATCTATTAGCCTTGGTCGGAGTTCAGATCTGAATGCAAAATACGGCCGCAAGTCATTATCAAGTCCACTGTGATTGTAAAGCTAGCGCAGGATCCATGGGAAATATGCAAGCTGATCTCCAACTAAGGAAACTCTTTTACCCCATCATTATTCGTAAGCCTCTTTCCAAGGTCGGGCTTGGCATTTTGAAGTCAGACAGACAAATCTCTTCCAAGAGAATAGATCCAAGCAGAACGGGTGTTGATTTCATCAGCACCGCTGTTGCTTCTGCATGTCCTTTGGAAAGCTCACTTAAGCTGCCTAACCTCAGCGTATTATTTTAGGATGCTGATGGATTTTTTTTCTCCCCCGGTGCTTTTTCATCTACATCATAAGATTTTACTGGGAGAGGACTTGCAGCTGTCTAAATAGTCCTGTCTGTCTCAGGCCTATAAAACAGCTCACTGACCTAGATCGGTGTCCACTGCAGGCCAGCCACTCACCGGAATGTTCCCAGATCATTCCGGGTTGTTTCACAACTGAGTGACAAGGAGCATAAACATCACCAAGCCACCTGGTGGTGGGGACTGATCCACACCACTCTGACAGCCGAGAGCCGGCTCTATGAGGCACCGGCTGACACTTCATGAAGGGTTTTAGATTTAAACAACGTGTTCACACAGGCGCACCAGAGAGTTGAGTCAGGATGTGCTGGGTTTCCACAGGGACCCAGCTCTGCCTGCAGGACAGACAAGCGTCCAGCCAGCTCTGATGTCATCTGCGGCCCCTTGGGACCTGGAGTTTGATGAGTCCTGAAAGCCTTTTGGGCCTCCAAAGAGGAGGAGATAGCAACAACTGAAACTTTAAGCCAAGACTTGGTGTAGCCAGAAAGAAGTTGGGAGAACCTTGAGATATTCCCAGGCCCAGTGAGGGTGTTTGAAGTGCTTCAGTAGGGGAGCGTACGCACAGGTGGACAGGCGTACAGGTGTGACGGTCGGGGGTGACGGTATCCTCACGCTCCCGTCACAGGCCTGCTTCTTAGCCGCCCCCCAACAGGGACATCTCATGCTCTCAGCTTCTGGGCACCTTCCAGCACCTTTAGGTGCATGTAAGTCAATATAGCATGTCTTCTGATAGCCCCTTTATTACTACTCAGAAAGTATGGTGTGACCCAAAACTGTCATCCCTGTGAGCAGAAAAAACACATGACACCCAGTTCAAGCTCAAGTGCAGATCAAAGGTAGATACATTTTGGGCATAAGTATAGCCCACCCCTTGGGGGGTGACAGCTTGGAGCAGTGCGGGACAAAAACGATCGAAGTTAAGCAGTGAGACGCCACAGGAACTACACCAGGACACAGAGCCCGTCCCTGGCAATCTCTCGCCCTACATCCGCAGGGAAGTGTCACCTCTGGTGCAAACTAGGGTGGAGTGACCAGGGGCTAGTACCTGTGGGCCAGGGGGTTCCACACCTCCCGCTAATCAGAGCTCACTATCTCCCTTTTTATTCTTACCTGAGTTTCTGCTAATCTTGTCGAGTAAGGTCTTCCCACTGATTCCGCTGATCCCGCTGATCTGGCCATGCTACCTGCCTGCTGTTCCAGCAGATACTGGTTTCCAGTATGTTCCTCCTACCAGGACTCCTGACCTAGTGAGAAGCCCCCTGCCCGACTTGTATTTAGCTTGACGGGTTAGGAAAACTGAGCACAGAGACAACAGCCCTGAAAACAAGGCGGGCCGGAGAGCCCTCACCGTGTGTTGTTTAGGACAAGTTTGTGCTTAAAAAAAAAAAAAACACTTTTTCCTTCCATTTAATGGGCTGTCCTGTGGTCTTACTTGCCAAATCTTGCTTCCCCCAGCAGGACACAGAGAATCAAGAGAGCAAAGTATGTGGCCACTTCAGATCTTGCTTCACCTGTGGATTTGCTTAACAGCATGGCGGGGGTGGGGGGGTAGGAATAACCCCAAACTGGACAGGTTGAGAGAACCTATCTCTCCCCACCTCTTGTCAGTTCCAAAGGGCCCGGGGTTGTACGTCAGAGGAACGTTAGCACACAAGACACGTTTGTTCTGTAATTATGGCCTGCCAAGAACGTGAGGGCTAGGACTACTGGTCCTGCTGAAGGCCCTTGGACACTCATGATGGGAGCCACTGCCCAGAAGAAGCCAGCGGGACCCTCCATTGTGTTTTCAGATTGATCAAAAGCAGTTCGACAAAATCCTTGATCTGATCGAGAGTGGGAAGAAGGAAGGAGCCAAGCTGGAGTGCGGAGGCTCCGCCATGGAAGACAGAGGCCTCTTCATCAAGCCCACTGTCTTCTCAGAAGTGACCGACACCATGAGGATTGCCAGAGAGGAGGTATGAGCCGCCGCAGAGCCTGGCCCATGGAGCCCGGGGCAGAGGGGTGGGGTCGGGGGTGCAGTTCAAACAGGAGATTTCTCTTGGTCCCAGAAATCTCTGAGGGGAGCATTTTCTTTTACTCTGTGGACTTCCTCTATCCTTTGGGGTCCTCAGGGAAACGGTCTTGCCCCCTGCCTCTGGCAAACCCCAAGGATTGGAGAACACCCACTTTCACTCCTCACCCATTGTCTCTGAAAAGCAGTCCTCTCTCATTCATCTGATAGGTCCTTAGTTTGGTCTGGGATAGAGGGTGGGTTTCACCAGGAATCCAGTCCTGGATTCAGAGCCCAAAGCCACCTTCAGTCCCCCCAGGTCAAAATTAAAGGACAAGTATTCAAAAATTCATCCCAGCTAGAATTCTCTTTGAAGTTCACCATGGGCATCCTTGGAAATGGTGGAAGTTAGGATCCCTTCTTCCCTGACTGAGAGTGCAATCTTTGTCAACCCCAAGGCTGAGCTAAATAGAAACACTTTCCACTTGGGTCCTGGTGGGGTGGTAGGAGGTGGCCTCTTGGGACACATAAAAGCATGAATCATTGCCAAGGGTTTCCTGGTGTGGGCATTTTATAGACGTTCTCCCTGAGGTTTTTATGGGTTACTAACTGTACTTGTGAAGGCATGAGATTCAGCTCTTTAAACCTCCCTATGACCACAGGTCCTGGGATCCTCAAAGTGTGTTTCTGCAGGCTGGCACTGCCCTGCAGGGTTATGATGGTGCCAGGTACCAGCTGGATCATAGGCTCCCTTCAGAGTTACCCTTAAATGATTGGCCACTGTGTGCCTTTCCCTTTCAATGTCCTAAGCTGCAAGGGACATTGTCTCCTCCTCTCTCCACACACACACACCCAGGAGTTATGAGGGAACATTTTTTAGGGTGTCTTCCTTGTCAGAAACACAGACCAAGAGGTGGGGTCACGCCCTGTGCCTGTAAACTCCCTTTGCAATCATCATCCAAGCAGAGCGAAAGTGGTTGTGTCCCGGGTGTTAACACAGAGTTACTCCAAAGCCCTGGTGTCTAGTGACCCAGAGCGATCTTAAACCCAACATGCACATTTTGTTATTTTTGTTTTTATTTTAGTCTTTCCCTTCAGGTTCTGACCATCACTGTCCAGAGGCCCTTGGGTGGTCTAGCTTCCCCGTGCTGGCTTCATACCAATCATAGGTTTATGGAAAAGCATGAAATAAAGGAAAAAGAGCCCGTGTGTGCTTGACTCAAGCATGCCTCTGATTGCCCTTCTTTGCCATTAATCGTAGATCTTTGGGCCGGTACAGCCAATCCTGAAATTTAAAAATATCGAAGAAGTGATCAAAAGAGCAAATAGCCTTGAATATGGGCTCACAGCTGCTGTGTTCACAAAAAACCTGGACAAAGCACTGAAGCTGGCTTCCGCCTTAGAGTCTGGAACTGTCTGGTGAGTGGCGAGTGTATTTCAGCTCCCCTGAGCTCACCTCACCCCTGGGGGGTTAACAGGGAGCTGCCAGTGGTATGATCTACCCCAGACACGAGCAAAGCGTGTAGCCCGGTCCCTAGGCCGCCCTCGAGGGCAGGGACTGTTACTGTCTCCACTGCGCTGAAGAGGAGCTGGACACCCAGAGAAACTGAGTGTCTCGCCCAGGGTCACACAGCTAGTGTGTGTGAAGATGGAGCTTAGGTCCGGCTGTCCAGCTGGGGGCGCCCCCCCCCCCCGTTCTCGACCACCAGCTTAGATGACCCCCTTGAACTTCACCCCTCTAGCTATTTTCGAGTCTGTTTCTGAAAACAGTGCATGGTCCTGTGAATAGTGTGGATGAAATCCCCACTTCCTCAGCACTTCCGCAGGTTATATTGTCCTCATTTTTTTTTTTTAAGATTTATTTATTCGTACAGAACTGGGGTACAGGCCAGAGATGCGGAGGGTGAAAGGATTCACCAGAGACAGAGCGGGGAGCAGAACAGGCAGATGGACGAAGTACACTACTGAGGGGAGCAGCGGGTGGGTCAGGAGAGGTCTGCCACGCCATGTGGTCACCTCCGGGGCAGGCGGGAATCGAATTCATGCAGAAGTGGTTTAAGCTTCTTTGTGCTGGGCTTTAACCCACTGCGCCACCAGGGAGGGTCCATACTGTCCTCATTTTAATGCTATAAGTATGTGATCAAGATGAATTGAGGCTCAGAGACGTTGAGGAATAAGCCCAGAGAAACAGAGCTTTGAGGACAGGTCTGTCTCATTTCAAAATAAATTCTTTCTGCCCACTGCATTGATTTTTCTCTCCTTTTTCCTCTCCTTGTTGTTCCCTCCTATCTCAATGAAAAGCTTTCTACACCAGCGGACCCCAGAAATAGGGGTTGAACTGTGGGGGTCCACCTATGGGCGGGTTGTCTATAAACATGATGTGAACTTAGTATCCAGTGCTGTGAAGGCATTTTCTCTCCCTCACTATTTTCTTCAGGACATTTGTCTTCTCTCCGGCTGCCTTTCTTTTTAAGATGAACCAATTTTATATACATGTAAAAGACCTGATTTATATATATAAAAACATGTAGGTACCCACACACATACATATACTCAAAATACGTGCTCATCAGCTACGTATGTTGTCAGGCCTCCGGTCAATAGCAGGGTATTAGAATCAAGCTTGGGGGAGTCAGGAGTTACTTAAGGATTTTCAAGGAGGGTCGGTACCCTTTACCTCCCTGTTCCTCAAGGGTCACCTGTACATCCATAGATTCCAGTTTGAGTTCCTGATGGGACAAACGAGAAGGCAGAAATTGAGAGCACACTGTGTACATTATAAAAGCTTAGACAACACGCCCTTCCCTGGGCAATGCTGGGTGCCGGGGCCCTGACAGCCAGGGCCAGGTCCGCTGGCTTCTCCAGGTAAAGTCCACTGGCCTCTCCAGGTAATCCTGAGCATCTTTCCTGTCTTTCCCAGGATCAACTGCTACAATGCCCTCTATGCACAGGCCCCATTTGGTGGATTTAAAATGTCGGGGAACGGCAGAGAACTGTGAGTATTTCAGGTTCCCACACCTGCTGGCAGGGAGAATCAAACTAGATTGCAGGGCGGCGTGTGCCCTAGCCGAGCCCTCCCTGGCCAGGGTGTGCACGGACAGCCAGGCCCTCCCTCCTCCTAAGCTTCTCAGGGGTTCCAGAGGTGGACTCTGGCTCCTTGGTGCCGTCCAACCCACCTACCCTATCAAGGGTCCCGTCTGTCCTTCCGATGGGGAATTGCGCGCCACAGACATGGGCTGTGACTGGGCCTTCTGCACCTGGCCTGAGAGAAAAGGCCCAGGCGGCGGGCAGACGGCGGGCAGACCTGCTGGTGCCCAGCTGGACGCTGCCCTCTCCTTCCCGGTGCTGCTCAGGGTTTTATTAGCCGTTGTGGACAATCAGCATGTGGGATCAGTCTTGCCAGGGATTGTGTGTGACAACTCACAGGGCCGTTCCTGGGGCATCTCAAAGAGCTCAGCTCTCCATTTCGTCTAATCAGTTTGTATTATTTACACACAAACATAGTGGCCCGGGCTTCCTGCATAATCCTCCCTGGGAGCTCAACACTGCCTTGTGCTTTGGGCCTGGGTGGGACCCATGGCAGGTCTCCTTCCAGATTCTTCGTGAAGATGTAAGACAGAACCCTTGAGCAAATGCTTTTGACCAGTTTCCGTGGAGTCGGGGTCCCTTCCCCCATCTCCAGTGGGTGGTGAGGTCTGTCTCTGTGTGTTCCAGCTGCTCCACAGAGAGCTGTCTTTTCCCTTTGTCCTCATAGTGGAAGGGGCCAGAGATCTCTGGGGTCTCCTTTATAAGGGCACTAATCCTGTTCTTGGGGACTTCACGCTCATGACTAATCACCATCCAAAGGCCACACCCCCAAACTTGAGCTTAGAGCTCTTGAGCTTAGAGCTTCAACACACAGACGTTGGGGGCCAGGAGCAGAAACCTCCACCCACTGCTGATGGTGCTGCTGGTCTACCTGCCTTCGATGACAACACCCAGGGATGCCCAGGGAGGTCCATGCCCATCTTAGGTCATGCTGCCAGTCCATGGCAGAGCCAGGGGTTGGACCTGTGAGCCATCCATGGGGTCACCTCCAGGGTGTAGGCCACCTAGGCGGTGCCAGCCAGGCTAGGCGTGGCTGTCCATCTCCTGATCAGCCGGAGGACCCAGAATCTCTCGTGGGGCGCGCCTGGCGTCCACTGGCCCGCCGACCCTGCCCCTGCCGCCTTGCTCACCCCACTCTGTCTCCCAGCCTGACAGCGCTCCCCACTGCTCAGCAGCTCCTGCCTGGCTCAGGCTCGGATGAGCAGGATCCATATTTCATCCTGTCCTCATCCACAACTGGGACTTTTTTAAATGTCGGGTTTTTTGACCCCTGGCAAATATTTTTCCAAGGTTTTCGATAAAGTACTTTAACATAACTCACAAGGAGCCTGGAAACTGACTTGAAGACCAATGTCCACCCTCAGTTGTGTCTAATTAACGTCTTCGTGTTGCAATAAGTTCCCCTTTTTCGTGCTGGAGCTCTGTGAGGTGGATTCCATGGTTTTCCCCGGCCCCGGCCGCCTGGGCTGCGCTGGCGACCTGCCGCCCACCCACAGGCCCCCGGGTGGTTCTTGTGCAGGTCTGGGGAGGAAGCTGGCAGTTCTCCTCTGGGCGCTTTGCTTACTTCTTTGTTTTACTTTGCAATAAAAATTACAGAGTAACCCAAAAGTCGGGGGGTGTGTCGAACCCCAAGGCCTCCCACCCAGCCCTCAATCATCTCACTTACAGGTCCCATGGCCCTGCCCTCCCCCCATCATTCTGGGGAGGCCTACTGGGAAGGGCTGGGCCCAGGGGTGCCCTCGGGGCCAAGGTGGTCATGACTCAGTGAGAGGTTATTCAGTAGATGCAAAAGTGGGTCCAGTAAGAGCAGCAGAATGTAAACTGGGGCCATGGCTAATACAAGAATAAGATTCACGTACTTCACTTTACAGGAATAATTTAATACTGGACCTGTTATTGTGTGCTAATTCAACACAATCCCATCACTTGGTTTGTTTTCTTTTCTTTACCAATGATAAATCATTGACTACTTTGAATTTTTACAGTGCCACACACTCTGCTCAGTTTTAAGAGTGATTATGCATCTCCTATGCATGCAGTGGGTGTGAATTCATTCATTCTTTTCTGCTTTCAAGTGAAATGGAAACAAACTCCTTATTCTTCTTGAGAATACACTTTGCTACGTCTCCATTGTTTTTACTGCTGGCCTCCTATGAAGGACTTTTGTGTTGTTTCCAAGGGGCTTCGCTGTTAAAATCATGAGGCTGCACATAAATTTTCTTACACATAAATTTTCATATGCTTGTGGGAGGTGGTTTTCAGAATAAATTCCACAAAATAGCTAGTCTGGCCAGAAAATGTGGGCTTACAACTGCTTTAGTTTGCATTACTTTATCTTTTCTTTTTTTTTGAGGTTTATTTATCTATGCATACAAGAACTGGGGTACAGGCCAGAAGTGTGGAGGGTGAGAGGATTCATCAGAGACAGAGCAAGAAATAGAACAGGCAAATTAACTGAAACATACTACTGAGGGGAGCAGTGGGCAGGTCAAGAGAGGCCTGCCACGCCATGTGGGCCACCTCCTTGGTGGGGGATTGAACTTGTGCTGCAGTGGCTTCAGATAGCTTCATTGTGCTGCGCTTTAACCCACTGAGCCACCAGGGAGGGCCCTGGTTTGCATTTCTTTAAACGGGAAGAGGTTCAGCACCTTTTCCACATGTATTGGTAATCTTTGTTTCGCTGTCAGCTGCCTGTTTGGGTTCTTTGTTATTTTTCCATTTGGTCATTTGTGGATTTTTTTACTGATTTGTAAGAGCCCTTTGTATATAAAGGAAAATGGCACTTTCTACATAGAGTTGCAATTATCTATTTCCTAGTTTGTCTTTTTTTTTTTTTTTTTGAGTGTTTCTGCTTCACAGAGGATAAGGTTAGTCTTCCGTGTACTGCCTTTATATTTTGTGTTATGGTCTGAAAGGGTCACAAAATAATTCACTCACTGCCGTGGACTTTTGAGCTATTTATTTTAGGAAGCTACCAAAAATATCTCAACAACATAGTAATAATAAAATGTTACTTTCAACTCTTCACGTTTTCCGTGTGACCATAGTAGGTAGTCTATATGAATCATCTCTCATCATTATAACTACAAAGAGGTGATGCTATTTCCGTTTTACAAATAATAAAATTGAGGGTCAGAGAAAGCAAAGGTCTTGCCCAACCTACACACTTCTAAGCCAGTGACTTCTCAGCTTGAGCTACAGTAGAGCACCACGCCTGTTAGTCCCCTGGCTTGTTAAACACAGACTTCTAAGCTCCACTCCAACATTCAGGAGCTGGATCCGTCTACTACCACTCCAGCAATTTTCTCAAAATCAGTGGTATAAGCAACGTAAACCCACTGGAGGACATTTCTGCAGGATGAAAATCTGATAGGGTCTCACTGAGCTAAAACAAAGATGTCTACGGGGCTGCACGCCTTTCTGGAGACTGGAGGGAGACAATCGCTCCCTGGTCTTCCCTAGCTTCGAGGGCCCTGCCCGGATTCCCTGTGAGCACCCCACCCCCTCACCCGCACCCCCACCCTGCTTCTGCAGACTCCCTTTCCTTCAGACTCTTCTCTGCCTCCCCCTTCACTTTTAAGGGTCCTTTGACTCCAGGAACCCCACTCAGGATAATCTATTGTAAGGTCAGCTTATTTGCAATATTACCTTTTTCTTACAGTTCTGATTGCCTAGTAAGTTATAATTATCATGGTTGCCCCTGTTACAGAAGAGGAAACTGAGAATTGGTGAAGTGAGCTTATCCAAGGACTTGTTCAAAGACTCTGAAAAGCCCTATGGGGGCCGCCAGGGGCCTCTTTTCCCAAACAGTACCCATTTGTATTCACTACGGCAGAGTGAGTGTCCTGGAGGCCTTTAAACCTAGTGAGCCCTGAGAAAGGCTGATGCTGGAGAAGGGTCTGCTCTGCTCTGGGGTCTGCTCTGAAAGACTCAAAGAAACCAAACACCAGACAGGACACAGCAAAGGCACTAATTCCAAAGCAGGGGTGGCCCCTGCGGCCCGCCGGAGCTAACGTCCGCTCCTGGTTGTGCAGGCTGGCCTCCTTCCTCTTCCAGCTGTTCCCCAGCTGCGGCTCTGAGAGCAGTGCAGGCCCTCCGTGTCCTTGTCCGTCCGGGAGCCCTGGCCTCACCCTCTGTTCTCAGTCGTGGGCCTCTGCCTCTTCTGTCTCTTAGCTCCAAAGTGCGGCTGAATGTTACAATCTGCTGTCCATGCTTCTCCCCTCTCCCTCCTCTTTCAGCCACAAAGAGCCTCTCTTCCTACCCTCCCCCTCCCCCCACCCCCTCGCCACACACAGGGAATTCACCTCTTGCTATTTTTTTGAAATCCCTTTACTCTTTAAAGGCAAAGCCATCTTTCTGGATATTTGGACAGCAGCACTCAAGCTGAGTGACATTCACTCTCAGTCACAGTCGCTTGGCCTCACGGATGGGATGGTCACCTGATGACAGGTCCCTAGGTCGTCGGCACATTTCAGCCTTTTGCCCATCAGGGTCCTAACCCACCGAGCATCCAAGCACAGCTGCCACAGAGCAGCCGCGCGTTTTCGTGTCATGCTTTGTCACATTTCCTCTTTCCTGTGATCACAGGGGAGAATATGCGCTGGCTGAATACACAGAGGTGAAAACTGTCACCATCAAGCTGGGTGACAAGAGCCCCTGAGGGACAGGCAGGCCCTCCCTCTGAGACTGGACGGCTGACCGTGGCAGCTGAGACGTGCCCGCGAGGTGATGGCATGGGAGGCCTCCCTGGGATCCTTCCTTCCGGAGACTTTAAATCTACTGGATTTGAACGACTTTTCTTTTCTTCCCGTTTTCTTGCCAATATTTGTGTCTGAGTTGCAGCTGGGGCAGGGTCGGTGGTGTGGCCGCCCCACTTTCTGCTTTCGCCTGGGCCCCAGGGGACAGTGAAGGGCTCAGGGTGTCGGCAGCAGGGAGCGATATTTGAAATATCTGCCGTGGCTTAAAAATGCTTTACTGACCGACTCCAGTAAGAATTTGGGGGAAACGTCCTGCATGTTCTACAAAAGGCCCTGCAGCTGTGGCTTCCTCGGGGTTCCCTGCCCACGGGACAAGGCCCTCCTGTCGGTCCGTGGGAAAGAATTAGCACTAAGTTAGGAAAGAACCAAAGCGGGGGTTGCCAGTATCTCACTGGGGAGCCATGGGAGCAGGTACTAAGGAAGGGTCCTGAGCCCTTGGGTGTGGACAGGCCTAGGTCCTGGGTCCTGGTCAAGGCAGCCCTTAACATGGACCAACTTCAAGCCAGTTCTGCCCTTGGAATAAAATCCAACCCATAGCCTGAAGGGTTCATCTAAAATGAAGCCGCAGTCGACCTGGGTCAAGGCACTCTCTCTCTTTGAGCGACGACCGCAGAGCGAATCCTGGGACGGCTGAGTCTACCTGGACAAGTCACAGCCATCTCGGGCTTCCACAAACTAGCTGCTCCACCGCCGCCTTCAGGCTTTATGACCGGCGCAAGGAGTCTGCCTTAGTCCAGTTGTGTCATGCATTTTAGATGAGTAAAGCAGGCACAGTGGGAAGACTGATGTGTCATCAGAGCCCTGCTATCTCAAGTCCATTTGATCTTAATGATTCCTCAGCAGTAGCCCCTGGACTCCAGGGAGGAAGCCGTTCTCCCAAAGTAGGCTGGGCTACTGCTCTCATGGGTTGCTGACTTTTCTTTTCCTCCTTGGGTCTCCAAATGATGTGCAATTGTATATTGTAACTTGGAAAATACATGATCTCCCTAAGTTTTACCAGAACACAAAACCCAATTTAAATTGTGTTATTCGGATACTTTTGCTAATGCAAACAACTAGTACTTTTCAAATGGTGCTTAAGTTGGAGAATGAAATGATGTTCAAGAAATTCCTTGGGGAGGGCAATAATAAAATGAAGCTCCATGTCAAAGCCGGCGTGTGTAAAAAGAAAGTCACATACAAATGGGGTTATCATTCTTGTCGGAAATGAGCTCTGTCTTCTTTCCGTAGGTTGCTTATGCTATCTGTAACTCGTTCAAATGGGATTTGACTTCATACACTGAATTTTCAGGATTTTAACTCAAGTTACTATAGACATTAATCTTAATAGCAGTACATTAGAGTGTTCTCATTCTTTCATTGTACAATAATGCCTTTAATATGAAATGCTACCTTATTTATAATTGGTATAGTTAATGTATCTTTTTATAGTTGTAAGTACACAGAGGTGGTATATTTAACCTTCTGTAATATACTGTATGTAGAAATGGAAATCTATATAGTATTAGATTTCACTTCCTTTAAGGTTTATACCTGTGGTATGGTTTAAAAATCTACTGGCCCGGGAATTCTGATCCTAACTGCAGATTGTGTTCAGCCTTGCAACAATGAGCAAATAAAACTGAATATTTGAGAAACACTTTGTTTTTTTGTTTTTTATTTAAGTACCGCCAGGAAGTTCAACCCCAGGGATCTGTGTCTTAGTTGGGTAGATTTGAGTTGTCATCTAAGTTGCCTGAATATCTTTTTAGCCTAAGAAGACAAGGACATGTGTATGGGGAAAGGAGGGAACATTCCATGCCGATTTAGGAAGATATCGCCTCCTCCAGCTTGTGCACAGGTGCACCCATTTTTGTCCCTATTCTGCCTGAGGGTAAAGGTGTTTGGGTCACATTTCCCTAAAGTGTCTATGACTTTGAACTGAGAAGCCTCAATCACCAAGTTGTGAGCTGACGCTGGATAGAGAACATGCCTTGTGTTTGACGAGTCCGCCAAGTTCAACCTGTACAGAGTGTCCAAATCTCCAGTGGGAACGCACCACCCTGTAAGGAGAAACGTAAAGGAGCCTTGGATCAGAGCCCTCATAGTATAAGCACTCACACGTGCGCAGATATATTGGGAAACCTCCTATTTCTCCATCTAAATGTGAATGGAAAATAGCAAAGTGACTTTTCCCTTCATTTTGGTTTACAGAGCCTGACTCTGGTGAAGGATATATCTAGGGGATACAGCCGGCTGTGAGTAGGCACATCCTCTAAAATCAAGCCCTTTGGAGTGCCCTGGCTTCTGAAGGTGGATGGAGTCTTCTAACGTGCTTGCCCTGAGCACATGGCTGCCTTGATCTAGAAAGTGAAGAAGAAGGACGCTTAGAAAGTATCCACTGGGGGAATTCTGAGGAATTCAGGTACCCAGCAGACACCAAAGGGGTGGTCAACCACAACACCTTCAGAAGGCTACAATGTTTGGTCTTGGAGGTATCTTCTAGAGGACCCCACTTTAGGAGTGTTATTCCAACCTGAGAATCCAGGAGTCTAGCAAAAGTCCGAAGGCCAAGTCAGCTGGAGTCAAGTGGACAGGGATTGTAGCTGACCAAGAAAAAGCTTCCCACCCAAACCCGTGCCAAACACAGCCTAAAGAATAAATACTGGGAAGTGGCCAGATCAAAACAGACCACCTGTATGTCCAGTGTCCTGGCGCTTTTCTGCATTAGAGAAATTTCCTAGCCTGTCCTCAAGCTCCTGTAGAGGGAAGGGAAGTTGCCTCCATGCTCATTAGTCTGTTCCCTCCAGAGTCCGCCAGGCACTGCGCGTGCGCTTCCTCCTATCGCTGCTAGATGGCAGGGTTGCGCCCTCTGGAAGCGCTGCATGGGCGTGCCCGGCTCACTTAGCGCTCCGGACGCCACGCCCTGCACCCTACAAATTATTAGGGACTTTTTGGTAGCAATCACGGTGCTGCCTTTTGCACAGTGGAATTAGGGCCGCAGTGCCGAAAATAAGATTGCAAAACTGCATCCAGTCTTTTGGAAGGGAGTCTCGTTGCAGGAGAACTGGAGAATCTCTTGGAATCAGAGAAAAGCTACCTGGTGGCCCCTTCGCCACCCAGGGGCCAGAAGAGCTGCTCCAAGTGGCCACTACCGGAATGTCCGCAAGGGGAACCGGCTGTGGCTGCCCTGGTTTGGTGAAATGGCAAGTGGCAGTGAAGGTGGTGGCTGTGCGTCCGTGCAGTGCTTTAACCCCTGGGGATGTTCTAGTCCAGACTTTACAGGAGAGGAGCTTTAGGGGCGAGTCCTGCCTGCCAGGCTTCTCCTTGGGGGAAAGGAAAGGGGAAGGAAGGAGGCACCAGGAACTGAATCTGAGACCTGCCTACAGCGTGGACCTGCAGCTCCTGAAGGTCTGCGTGTGGACACTGGCGTCAGCCATGCGATGGACCCCCAACCAACTGCCGGCATTCTACCTCCAAATAAAGTTCCTCCCCAGCCAAAACAGTTGCCAATTTAAAATGATTCACCAAATCATGGCATTTTTGCATACATCGATAATTAAAATAGTAAGTCATATGGTGAGAGAAGTGCCGTTTGCAGCAAATGCAGGCTTTAAAAATACACATTTCTCTACTGCCCCATAAGAGCGTGCCCAACTCAAGTCCTGCCTTTTGCTGATTATTTCCTGCTCGCGTGCACGGCCCGCCGAGTCAGAGGCTGGTCGGCGGGCTTGGCCACTGAGTGCTGCAGGGGGCCAGTGCGATCTGGCTTGAACCTGCCAGTCCCGCCGAGCGCCCGCCCCCAGGAGACAGCAGGGAGCCGCGACCTGCGGGAGACCTCGCGCCAGGGGCTCCACGGCTGGCCGGGCCGTCTCGCGGATCTGATGCCGGGGCTCTGCGGCTAGAGAAACGGCGGGGGCCCGCCGGCGGGGC